GCTATTTGTCTGTGTTGCTGAAAAGGCTCTTAGGATAAGTGTATGCGGGATCAATTTATTTTGATTGAGGAAGTGGGTTCCTCTCCGGCTAGCTGCCACGTGATCTCCATTACAGATCCAGTCTTGCCCAAAGAATGGACCTGGCTGAGATGTAAATGGCTTGACTTCTCGGGGGGAGGAGAGCGTGCCTGCTCCCAGACCCGGGGGATGAGTACACGGCGCGGTGCCCTCCAAGAGGTATCGAATCTGGAGCAGGCTGTCCGGAAAGCCGCTCCTGATGCGCTGTAGGGCTGGAAGGGGTGCCTGCAGCAGCTTTGGAGCCACTGGCAGTAAATCTGAGCTAAGGCCCAGAGTTAGGGGGATGTCTGAAAAATTTTGTCATTGCCATTTTGTCCCATCCCAAACCCCTTTGGGGATTTACTACGCAAGATTGTCCCCCGCACAGCGATGCCAGGTGATGGTCGGGGTGGCCTCCTGGCTCCGGGTTGGTGCCACTGGTGGCTCCCTGTGGCGTGGGGGTGGATTGGGTGGATGATAGAAGAGATGCTTGGGTGGAAAGGAGCTCCCCGGACAGTGGGAATAAATGGAAAGAATGGGAAGCAACTGCGCTGGGCGCTAAGTGCGGATGGGTCCCATGTGGAGAGCGTGTGGCTGTTTGAAATTGCCGGCCGTTTTGGAAGGGGTGCTGGGTGGCCGCAGGAGTCACCGCTGCCCACGGAGGGAAAAACTGGTGTCTAGCGGCACCCCGAGCCCCGTGCAGGGGCCGGGCAAGCCCCCTCCTGAGTGAGAGCAGCATCTGTCGGGTGGGTTCTCGATGTTGCTGCCTCGGCAGCAGAGATTAAACCAGGCGTTTCTTCAGGAGTTTAACCCAAGGAGCAGGCGGTTCCGAGGAGCGCGGGGGGTGAGCGTCCTACAGACCTTGGCATTGCTGCAAACAGCCTTGTAGCCCCTTAGCAGCCGATTTGTATAAGCGAGCGTTAATTTTAGTTATTTCAAGTTAGGTGTGTTAGAAGCAAGTAGTATTTTCGTGACTTTGTTTCCTACTGTGGTGGGACGTCAGTCACGCGGTTTCTTCTTCTTTCAAGTCACCTCCTGAGCGCCCCGAGACCAGTGCTCGAGAGAAGGCGCGACAGAGTGAGCAGGGGTCTGCTGAGGGCAAGCGCTGAATCCCAAGGGATCTCTGAAGGATGGGCTTTTCAGGGGGAATGCCCAGTGTTTCCTGCAGTCGGGCCCCCTGACAGCAAACGAGTGGGTCCCTCCCGGAAACGCGGGCCAGCTGTGCGCACATCTGGACCCAGCATTTCGCAAGGCGGTGGTGCGGTCGCCAGGGTGAGGATTCCCCAGGCGCTGTGCCCTCCTGAAAAGACCACTGCAAGGTTTCATTTTGAAAATGCTTTAATAAGGAAGTGTTGACAACACCGTTTTGCAAAATGTAAAGGTAACTATACAAATTCTTAATACAAAAAGAATAAATTAAAAGCAGATCTTTTTTAATTCTGCAACTTTTTCTACAACATACATATTTTTTCCTTGATTACAGTTGAACAGAATCCAGTAAAATCATTTTCCATGCTCTAAAGTCAATTTCAGGAGAGACCTAATTTTTTTCTTCTTTTTTTTTTTTTCTTTTTTTAAACTAGAGAGTCCATTTTACACAACTTGTAATAAAACTATTGACATTAATATATATGTAAAACTTTACATCTAGTTAACTAAGCAGTAACTGGTCATCTGATAGCACCTGAATGGGGATCGGCTATGCCTGAAACTAAAACTAATACAGAGTGAAAACAAATTGGACTGTTTCAACATTTTCAACACTCGACTGCATATAATATCATTTGAAAATAAACCCTGCCTCCCAGCGCGGCCCGGTGCGTGGAGCGTACACCCGGCTCCCGGCTAAACAGAGGGAGCGTCAGACATGTAGACTAAGAACGCAATTGTGGCTTTATGTCAGATGGAGCCTTGAAAAATAAAAAAGTAAAGGAGGGGTTAAGTTGGTAGTCAAGTGCTTGTATATAATAGCTATGTATATACCCCTCCATGTTATACTTAAATATGTTAATCTCATATGATTAACATTTTATGTACATTTGTGTTTAATTGAATTGAGCTAAACAGTAAAACCTGTTTTACTTAATCTGTCTTTACTACCAGACTGGCTGCTCACGTGTGCCTTGATTGCAAAACAGAAAAGCAGAACACAAAGCAAAACTCAATCCGTTTCTAGAAAGCTTTTTCTCTACTCGAGCCTGTTTGCAATTCAGGCTAACCTTTTTTTTTTTTCCCCCTAATTTCAGGGCTGCCACCTTTTAACCTTTGCTGCAAAACTGCAGATCTGGTCTTGGAGGAATTAATGTTTCTTCCTGTAGTGCCCAGAGGCCTCATAGCGCCGCTGTTGTTGAATTCTTTTTAATTAAAAGAAGGTACACAGAAAAAAAAAACCAACCCAAAACCACTTATCAAGGAAATTAAAAAGAAAACAGACAGTTGCTCAGAGCCCCTAAAATTCCGTGGGCTAAATTACTTGCTGCTGCTTAATTTGGTCCTTATTTAATCCTTTCACTTTAGCTACCGAATCTTACCAGTAAATGTCACTAATTGGTACTCTCGCTTATCCAGCTAAAAATCCAATTAGGAGCTTGAAATAATTCCCATGTTAAAGACCCCAAAGCACAGAGAGATGGTGAAAACAGCATTTTGCACATCCAGATAAAGGGTGCAATCTCTCCGCTGTCTGTTCTTCCAGCAAGCGGTTACAAGGCTTCAGTTATTGTCAAAGGGGGTCGTGCTCCTGCGGTGATTCTTTGCGGGGGTCCAGAAGCACGAGGCTTGCATGGCTAGCTTTAAAAACCCCTTGCCAGTATAAAAAAGTATGCTCTTTTTTTTTTTTTTCCAGAGGGATAATTCATTTATGCTTCATGTGTGAACATGAAAGAGTTTCCTTCCTGGCTTTGCCGTGGATTTCCCTGGACAAGTAAGAGCCTTGGCTGCCCGTCGCTGTCCTCCTCTCTGCAAGGCCGCCTCCCCTGCCTTACCAGTGATGCGAGACAGCGGCACAGCAGGCAAGTGCAGAGACCTGAAGCAAACATTTCTAGTATGTATTGCAGAAAGGTATTCACATGAGCCGCTTGCATTAATTTTTAGAAACCCCATCATCTTTCCAAGCCTAATTACGAAGAACCCATTCTCTTTTAAAGCCTGGAATGCAGTTTTCCAGCAATTTTAATACCAAAAGGTGTGGCAGCCCCCCAAGTCGCGGTGTTTAATTTTCAACGTTTTGCCCTACTTTGTCTGGTAGACGCTATTGTTATTCTTGGAACACACGCACGCACACACGCTTGCACTTTTTTTTTCTTTTTTCCTTAAACTAAAGCTAACTTCAGTTTCTGCTTTTCACAAAGTAGCCCCCTCCAGCCGTTTCTTTTAATGCCTTTCCCATAGGAAATCTTCGTTTGCACGCACAAACGGGGGAAGGCGGGGTGCCTCCCCCCATCTAGTGGCAATAAAAACAGCATAGCACCGCAATGAAGACTAGATGTGCCAGCTTCAACATCCACCTAGATTGTGCACTTGTTCGTTACAAAAGTGTCTTTGAGGCCTTTTAAAGTTCCATGGCTTGACATGTATAAAGCATTGCTCAAAAGTATGTGTAAACTTGCAGCTCCTTCCATGACGCTCTCGTACGATTCCTTTTGGTATCAGTAGGCAGCTCTCGCTTGTGCCCAACACCTAATTTAGTTGCTTCTCTTTCTTGTGGTCGCTTCTTGCAATGGGAAAATTTGCCTAGTCTGCTGGTTGTTAAACCCCGCTGCGGAGCCTTTCCGTTTCCCGACAGACCGGTTCTCCCACACAGCAGTACACCGGGTGACGAGCCCTTTGCTACACTGGTGCTAACGAAGGGAAGATGAGTGGAACAGATATGTTAATGCAGCTTTACCGTGTCAATTAGATTGCGATGTGCTTTCCCTTTTGATTTCACGTTAACGCTTTGTGCAGAAATAGATTAGAATTTATTGGCTGTATCTGTTTGTAGAAAGGTTTTTTGGCAATTTTTATCTTCATCAGAGTATTAAAAAAAAAAACAAACCAGCACAACCCCAACCTCTCCCTGTATTGGTGTGCAGCCTGTGCCAGCCACAGAGATGCTGTGAGTAGCAGTACTTGCCTCTGCTTCAGATAATGCCTTTGTAAACCTTGTTTGTCCAGTTTCATAGTAGCTTGTAGACAGTGATGCTGTGATACCAGTCCAGACCTCCAGTGTGTCTTCAGCACGTTGGGTTATTTTACTTGCATGTAGGTGGGCTCAAAGCGAAGAAGGAAATGCCGTTTTACAGGAGGTGGTTGTGTCTGCCATTGAGTTAAATGAGAGGGATGTTCTTGTCACAAGAACTTGCTGAGCAAACTCATCCTGCCCATGTTGGTGTGGCGATCTTTGGCAGTGCAGATCTGATTGCGAGACTCTGGCACATCTTTGAAGTGACAGGATTTTACTGTTTCATAATAGATGTACTTTCAGGACTATGATATCCATTTCTCGGCCTCTGTCCCATTTTGCCCCCCCTCCTCCCCTTTAAACTAATGCTCAACTAATGCTCTGTTGGCTTCAGATCGCAGGTCATGGAAATCTTACTGCTGTTACATGCAGCAGAACAATATGATTTGATGTAAGCCTTGAAAGGCTTCCATCGTTTCAAAGGAAAATCAATTTTTAAATTGCTGACTGACTATCAAGATGGCTGCTCATCTGCACCCGCTGCCCTGCGGGCCGTGGGAGGGACGTGCACCAGCCTGGCAATGCGATCCGCTGCGGTCCGTCGCTGTCGTGGTGGATGTCTCAGGGCCAGTGTTCTGTAAATGTCGTCTTGAATTGCATCGTGAGAAAAGTGCTTAGAGTTGAAGCTGGTGCTGGGTGACAGTGCATCTGGGTAAGGCAAATGAGAGGCAGTGAGGTGATCTCAGAATGGCATTGATGTGATTAACTTGAGGTCAGGGGTTCACACTAGAGTCCCAGGCTTGGCTTTTTCCTGCCCATACCACTGGACATCTGCTAATTCTGGATAGAGGGGAGAATCCAGGAAACAGCTATCGTTGTAGCTCCTGCAGGAGAAAGGAAACTTCATTAGGACAACGAGGGCTTCTGGGAAGTTCAGCCATGGGCATAAAACATCGTATTACAGGTGGGGAGGAACGCAGGATATTCACATTCGCACTCTGCAGGTGCCCCCAGAGCTGACGTTTGGGCTCAGCATGCAGGGCCCTGCCTTGACCCAGTTTGCTCTTGCCCGTCAGTCCCATTCCCCCCGGCAACCTGCCTGGTGCAAGGAGGCAGGAGAAAGCCGAGCTCCGGTAGCCTCTCCAGAGTTTTGGATGATGCCTGAATGGCAACAGGCAGAGCTGTTGTGTTTTCAGCCCGTTGCTGGCCAGTAGCAGGGGCTTTGTGAAGGTGATGCGCTACAAGAGAGCAGAGCAGCTGCTGGAGGGCGAGAGCTTGTGGCTGACCCCACCAGCTGTGTCCATCCCACCACCCATGGTACCACATCTGCCTCCGCTTTCTCTGTACGTGGCTTCTTCCCTCCGGGGGTACAGCAGCAGTGCTCTGCCTTGCCTAAAGGGCTCTGTCGTGCTTTCCTACCCAGCAGTAAGCTGGGGTAAAGAGCTTCTTAGTAGGATGCTCTCCAGGGAGCAAGTCTGCAGAGCAGCCCTCCTGGCCATAGACTGCAGTACCTAGTGGGAACATGGAAGGAGGAGGGTGGTGGTGCTTTCCTGTAGCACTGCTGCTCTGGGCAGAGGCTCGTGCGTCATCTGGCAATCCCAGAGTTACGTGGCTTTCCAGGGATGAGCTAGGAAGTGACTAGTGAGAGGGTGCCAGGTCCAATGTGGAAAGGACCGTGTTTTGTAATAGGTAGCCTAGTCCTCATCTTGTGGCACCTCTCTTGACAAGCTACTGCTTCTTTTGCTGCATGGCTTTTTGTTTGCTTGCACAGAGCAGACGAGATAGTTTATAGGAATTTTCTTTGCTATTTATCTTAAAGTTCCGATCAGGCTTCTGGCTTAGTCTGCGGAGCTCCTTGCCAGATCAAAATCTTGTTGATATTTTGAAGAGTGACTCTACATAGTAATAGTCAGAATTGATGTCTCTCCCTCACACTTTGATTTTACCCAACTTCCAAACTAGAGATTGTTTTGAGGCCAAAAGTGGGAGATGCGTTTTCTATCTGTTTACCGTGGGATTCTCACTCCTTCCTCAGCTCCCTCCCTGCCTTGCAGGACTGATCTCACATCTGATGCAGTCCAGCAGTTCCTGCTTCCTTTGTCCTGTTTTCCATCTGGTTTCCCTGGGACCGGTGTCTGGGAGGAACCTGAGCAAGGGATCACCATCTGCATGTTAAAAAGCCTTTTGTTTCCCAGCTCTGTGCTGGAGTATGGAGGTTTATGGGTTATTTCTAGAAAGCTGGGCTTGAAATACTTGACAGATGCCAGCTGTGAATGGTTGTAGATTCGAAGGAGAGTGTCAGACAGCGACGGCAGTTTAATTAAAATAGAAATACTCCAAGGGTTTTTTTGTTCCCTCCACCCTTCCCCCTCTGTCTTCCCACAGGAACAGGGCCAGGGTTGCTCCTCGTTCCTCGAAATCTCGCTGCTGCTAACAGCCTCTGCTTCACAGCTCTGCTCTGCGGTAGGGAAGGAGGAGAAAGGAGTGCTCGGTGCCACGGCTGGAGCACTGCCGGGAGCTCCGTCCCGGTCCCCTGAAGCCCCCATATACCCAAGCTCGTCTCCCCGCCACGCTGCTCCCAGACTCTCCCTGCAGCACTCTGCCCACACTGCTTTGAGATGTCCCCAGCCACAAATTTGTCGCTACCGCCTGCTCTCTGTGCCCGTTCAACCTCTGCATGCAGAGCGGGCTGGCCCGAAGTCCTCTTTCACAGGGGAAAGCGCCACAGCCGCAAACTTGCTGAAAAGGCACAGAGAGGCCTTCGAGATGCTTTCAAGTTGTTCTTCCAAGAGCTGAAGGAGGACTTGTTGCCAAACAAACAGGCACACAATTAAAAGGGCTGCTCCTTTGGGACAGCGGGATGCCGGTTATTCACACTGTGTTCACAGACTGTAAGGCAGAAGGATGAAAGAACAAAACGTTCCCTTACTATACCTCTATTCATCAGTACTTTGGTGGGTTGGAGACTGAGACTCATCCATAGTGGGTGAGTTGTCTGTTGCTTCTCTGAACAAAGGAGAGCAAAAAAGGAGGAAAGAGGAGAGAGGAAATGTTAAAGAAAAGAAGTGACACAGACATTGTTACGAGCTTATTAATCCAGTGGAGAAACAAGTTGATGAATCATCTTTAGAAAAAGTTAGTGACACAAAAACATGTTGGGGAGAACTGTCAATCTTTTGAGTCGTGCTGGGAGGGCACAGCCTGCTCCTGCAGTGGGGGAGTTTGTGTTGTGCATCTAATGGCAAACTTTATCTGCTCCTACTGTATTTATACATACGCCTCGGGTGTTATGCTCAGGCATGAAATAAGTGCTGATTTGTCTCCAATTCTTTTTGCACTGGCTGTTGGTGCAGGGCCTAAGCTATAAATCTAGATAACTTCACTTTCACCAGCTGAGAATTTAGCTTGATACATTTTTGCTATGAGAGACAGGGTGCAGGAGTTTTCTTGAATGGAAAAATAAGAAAAATTGGACCAGAAGAAATTAAAGAGCATGAGATTTTCCAGTGGCTGCACAGTGAAATGTTTGCAAAGTTACCAGTCCCAATTCACAACTCGGGATCATATCTGTTTTCCTACTCTAGGGCCTACGGTATTTTGAAGACTGTAGTCTGAAACTTTCTAGCTGATCTCACCAAACTCAATTTAGATGCAGAAATCTGGGACATGCTGAGTTAGATGGGATCTGGAAGTGATCTTTATTTCATGAGGCAGGACAGAATTACAGGAGATTGCTAGAGAATACCCATGGGAGTTTGCAAAAGGCTTTCTGTTTACTCCTGGAACTCCCTCCCTCACAAAGAGGTGCCAAGGAACCCAATTACTATATTTACATGAGTAATGGCTACCTGCATTTAATGACTCACTCACACTTTGGCGAAGCACGTTAAGTTAGTGGTAGCTGAAAAAAAGACGCACTTAATAGTCATTAAGACACATTGCTAGGGAAAACCTAGCAGAAAAATGTGGTTGCTGCACACACAAATATTGTAGACACCTAACCTTGCCTTTACAACAAAGATCTCCTTGGTCTGGACAGCCAGTGTGATGGTTGCTAAAAAAAAGATCAGCTATTTCGACATATGGAAAATTGGAGGAAGGAGACTGTCCAGGCAAGAAGAACCTGCAAGGCTTCTTTCCCTGTGGATCCGGCACTGCTTGGAGCAGTGCTGCTGGGTGCGGATGGCACTGCCACGTCTTGGTCAGCCTAAACTAGAGCTCCACCGCTACGAGAGCACGGGTGGGAGGCTGGAAATGGCGTAGGCTATTGAGCACCTGGAAAATGTTCCCTGTACCTGTGCTCTCCCTTTGCTTGTGTGCAGGGAGGTTTTTCTCACTGGCACTGAGCGAGGTGAATTCTCTAACCCGATCCCACTGGCACTCACCCAGTCTGCCATGCGAGAATGTGATGGGGACTGCCCGGCGGCGTGGCTGCTAGTTCACTCGACGGTGTTGAACTCCTCTGGCTGTGAGGTAAGGCAGCTGAAAAATAACCAAAGGGTGGAGAAAAATAACCGGTGAGGTGAGGGCACAAGGGTCAGGGTGGTTCAGAAGCATCAGCTGGTCAGACCAGCAGAAACGTGTCCTGCTGTGAGTAAACACAGCCTGGGAGTCAGACCTCATCCTGTTCCTGGATGGCTGTGCCCGAATGCAGCACGGGAGCACCCAGCCTGGTGCTGATGCTGCTGCATGTCACGGGCTGGATTTGTCCTCAGTTTCAGCCCAGCCTCCAGCTGAATACAACAACCCGGACTCTCCGGAGCCCTGCCTAGGAAACACCGCACTTCTCCCATCGTGAAAGCTAATCGGTTTTGCTGCTGCCTGGACTGGCATGGCCTGGCTGTGCATCTCCATGGGACCTGAACTGGAGGACCCCAGCCTGTCAGGCTCAGCCTCCTGCTTCCAGGGGTGGTGGGAGATGCTCTGTGTCCCTAGGAGCCAGAGCTGGCACTGGAGAGAGTCTGGACAAGTACACTGCTTCACGTGCAAATGAGGAAGACAGCTCTGAAGATTTCAAAAGCTACAACTACCTTTCACTTTGTCATTTGCTGACATGACTACTGTGGGACCAGAGGAAGGCTTATCTTACTTCAATGAAGATAGAAGCAAGCTGAACTAAAAATATACCATTGGCAGTGATTCTCGGGGTAGTTTCCCCAGTGAGAGTCTAGCTAAGAAATACACCTGACTCCTCAAGTCTGTACAGAGTTGACCTTCTGAATTTAATATATGCCTAGAAGTATGATCCTCTTTGAAGGACAACGTGAAGTCCAATAGACCTATCGGCTAGGGCTAATCAGCTAAAATGATGGATGTTTCTACGTGGTATCCCCTTCTGTGCTGTCAAATTCTTTAGCTGCTGCCAAATGACCCTTCAAGAGAGAAACAAATTTGAATCTGCTCCTTGGAGCCGACAACCCCCGAGATCAGTATCCTCCAGCTGTAACTGGGAGCTGACTCTGAAAGCAAAACTAATGTACACTGCCAACTGGTCACGACAAGCTGCGATTACTGAGTACACTCGACACTGTGCTGCCCAGATATCACATGTAGATGTAAAGACCCAGCTGGGTGGGGGAACGGACTGATTGACAGCAGTTTTTACATGCTCTCCCCCAACCCCACCATTTTCCTTTCTAGATTACCTCACTGAACTGGTATGGTTTCCAAAGCTAAGCAAGGCAAAGCTTTCCAATGTTCAAGCATTTTGTGTTGCTGGGTGGAACAGAAATGCCGCTTAATCAAAGGGGGTTCCAGCAGCTATTTGATTGTGTCTTGGTCCACATCTGGGCCTCCTGCGAGTGTTGGCATCACACATAAATCAGTCTCTTCTCGGGCAGCTGTTGGTGGCCCATGAGGAGCCTGGTGTCAAACTGCCTCTCTGACTCCACGCTGGAGTCAGGAGTGAATACAAAGCCCCACTGGTGTCAGCGTGGTGGTCACCGAGGACCAGGCGCAATGCTGGGATGTCAGAAGGCCAACAGCCAGCATGGGTGGACAATGCACCGGTCTGCTCAGGGAGGCTGCTCCTGTGGCAAGCGAGGCCGGAGCAACGGTATCGCCAATACCAAGCCTGAGGCTCGTGGAAGGGTGGGGATGGGCACGGTGCAAACTCTGATTAACCAGCAATCCCATCCATGCGGGGCTGGATTCAGGTTTTTAGCAAGTCCTTGATCTATCCAAACTGGCTTGTCCAGCGGTGACTGATGGCCAGTAAATATTTAACCTTGGACTGTTTCATAACACACAATGGCCTCCTCAGTTTAATGAATTTGGCTGTTTTCTTACCATTTAATATTAACAGCACAGAGGAGAGCAAAGCTCTGTACATGACAGAGAGGCATAATACTGCACAAACTTAAGTGCTCTGAATTTCAGGGTATTATCAGCACAGCTACTGGAGCTGCATGGGAAAACCAAGTCTCAGCAGTGAACAAAGATGTCATCGCTCAAACATTTTCACAGAGGGTGGAGGGACTGGGATGCACCCCATTTAACCTTTCTCATGCTTTCGGTGTTTCACTGAGGACATGCATGCTCCTAGTCTGTGCTGAGCCCCCGCTTGCTTCATCACTCCCCTCGCTGTGATTACTAAGAGTGACCCCTCCCATGGTTTCTCCACGTTCGGCCCCCAGTGCCGTCACCCAAAACCCAACTGCACTCTGAGGAAGGACCTGGCAACAACAGGGCTTTGGTCCCTCCCTGTCTTTTGAACCCATCATTGCAAAGTGATGATTTCTATGGAAAAAAATTCTCACTCGATGAGTGTCTCGGACAAGGCTTGCCCCCCAGTGTTACTCCTACAGGCTTGGCGAGCAGCATGTGAAGGCCAGATAACGTGCTACGGTCTGGCATTGCTCTCCAGCTGGGGTGTAATGCCTGGCATGAATCCGGGCTGCATGAGGCCCCCGTCCCTCCCGACCCTTTGCCTGGGACCGTCTCTCACCTGACGTTGCTTTACACATCTGAGGCATTCTCGTGACCCGGCTGTGCGCCACAAAGGTGCTTTGCGAAGATGTGCTGTACTGGGAGCTGCTGTCCGAGGAAGTGGAGCTCGTGTGCGAGAGGCGGGGGGACGTGGACCGCTGGTCCCAGAGCCGCAGCTCGTCCGACACGGCAGTCCTACCCGAGCCTTTCTCGTGGCCCTCCCTGCCCAGCGATGGAGTCCTTATGATTTGGGAGCGGGAGGGGGTGAGCCTGACAGAGTCCACTTCATCCCCGTGCCAGTTCTCCTTAAACATCCCCCCCGCTGTGTAGGAGTTGGAGGTTTTGAATTGTGCTTTCACGCTGTAGTGTCCCTCCTGGTCATTCTCCAGGCTCCGCACCACCACGGGCGTGGAGCTGCCCTCGATGTACAGGGGATACTCTTTGATCCTGTACTGGGAGGAGGGTTGGCTCTGGCTGTGCAGGTAGACGCGGTGGTGCCCTGTCCCGTTCCTCGCAGCCAGGTTGGGCATACTCCCCGAATTGGAAGAGACCAGGTTGCCCGCCGATTTGTGCCTTTGCCTCTGCCTCTCTCTGGCTTTTGACGGGGAGTCCTCTGCCAGGGTGGAGTAGTTGGGGTTCATCTGAGCAGGGTAGTAGTGCTCAGAGCTGGAATGGCTGGTGCAGGAAGAGCAGTCGTCCATGGGGTCAGAGCCATTACTGCTACGAGTCCTTGGGGTGTAGAAATCGGGGCTCCCTGTCTCATTTTCTGAGCCGAGGAGCTTGCCTTGCGACTCCAAACTGGAGCTCCGGTGTCTAAAGTGCTGAGCTAAGCTGTGCAGTCTGGTCGGGCTGATGTCTACTGACCTGCAGGTACCAGGAAAAAAATCCAGGCTGGTAAGTCAACAGGACGAAGCACTCCCTATTCCCTTCTGCACACAAGGCCAGCTTCACAGGCAAGGGACTATGAGGGCACTGAAAACCTGGACCCCTCCAGCACTCCGTGGGGCTGCCGGCTGCAAAGCAACCTGCTTCCCCTGCCTCAGGGTTCGGGGTGATTAGGTCCTACTCCTGTTCCTCTCCAGTCTCCTTGATGGTGGCATTCAGACACCATATGGGAGATAAACCCTTGCCCAGCCCAATTCCTCTGTGGCTGGCCACCCTGGGAAAGAGCCAGTCTGGGTCTGGGGACCTCAAGCCCCGGCTTTGCTGGTGCAGCCCTGTGGCAGAGCTGTTTGAATCAGCACCATCCCTGTGCTACCAGGTTCACCTCACTCCAGCTCTGCAACTCCCGAGACCTTAGCCTCAAAGGTGGTGGGATCCCCTTGCAAGTGGCCTTTGAATGCCCTGCACAGATACAATCCACCTGGTGTGAGACAGACAGGCAGACTGCCCATACTTAGCCCAGAATGTAGCAATTTCTTCACTGGCCTTTGAAAAAGTCACCTCTGTCAAGCAGCTAGCTTTTAGCAGGGCCCAGCCATGGGTAGCATGTGTAGGACTGTCAGCAGCTGACAGCCCTTCAGGCAACCACCCCGAATCACAAGTTTTCAAGGCTCAATTCACAGCCAAGTCTGGGTGGTCTCTATTTACCCCGGTTGTTTGGAGAGCTTCAGCCATCCGTTCAAGGAGCAGGAACGCCCCGCAACGAGTCACACACCCGCGTGACGGATGGCCAAGGCCAGGGCATGCAGCTCATGAATGAGCCACAGACTGAGCAATGGTTGTTTCAAACACCCAAATGGCCCCTACCCGGTCAAGGCCACTTCTCAAGCCCTGTGCCAGGCTCATTTCTCACGCAGCTTGGCTCCAGTGTAACAAACATTGCACTCTTTAAAGGTACTCTCAGCCAAAAACTTGTAACAAACGTAACCCAGGGCCTTAATGCCTTGTATCGTCTCTGCCTGAGTCTGATGTGTTGGCACGACTCTTTGATTTATGCTGAGCTAAATGATGTTAGCACTACCCCTTCGGCAGGATACCTAACAGCACACAGCTTTGGCTCAGCTCTGCTTCCCACAGTGTCCATGGAGTTTGCCACGAGAGCAAAATAGCAATGAAGCTGAACAGTTTGTAGAAATCCTAAATTGGGCCACATCAAATCACTTCCCTTACACACTTCAGCTCTTTCCTCTCAACCCTGGGCTTATTCCACTGCCACCTGGATCCTCAGGTGGATTGCTTTATACAGGCTCTCTCTCCACATTAAGATCACACATGTGCAAACATTTTATCTATGAGAGAGAATTAACACTACCCAACATTTTGTATCAGACAGGAAAGAACATGTTAGCTCCAGCTGGATCCATAGAGGAATTTACTGCAGAATTTAGTAGTGGTACCACATCCCTTTTAAAAGCGGCATGGGGTTTGTAGCACCTATAAGCAGTCCCTGAGATGAAAGGTCCCAGTGGAAGAAAAGCTTGATTACTTTGAGAATGAGATGAGAGGTAGGATCACATTTATCTGAAGGGTATTTATCAGGATCTCAGTTCAGGAGAGATTCCCTACTGGCAACAGTACTTCAGCCTCTCATGTGAACAGGATTGGTTCGTATCCTTTTCTGAACTGGGAACTAATTAATATACTGGGCGAAAGATAAAGCAAAGAATATTTATTTCAGGGTAAGCAAGGTGAGACCGGAGCCGGGAAGACTTACCGCGTGGAGTGGACGTAGTGTGGACTGCGTACCCGTAGATCTGGCGTTGATGGCATGCTGGACTGGGAGTTCCAGTGGGGAAGGCTCCGGATGGGGCTGTTCTGCAGCGAGCTGCTCCCTCCTGCCTCGGCACAGCTCCCGGTGCTGGGGAACCGCTTGTGACTGCTGCAGAGCAAACACCCTGCTTTAGTTCCCGAGCACGAATTTGGGGAAGGGGCTCCCACACCTCTTTCCAGATCTCGGGCATGTGCCTGTGATCTCATGGGGGTGAGTGGGAGTTGGGTCAGCTGCTGCTCTGAGCTGCGTCCCAGAGCTTGTGCTTCTGCAGTAGCCGGAGGTCAAGGCCAAGCCCTGTCAAAGCCCTCAGATTATCCACCATCCTTCCTTTCTAAATGTTTTTTAAGATAACATTGAGATACCAAGCAGCAGTCATGTGGCTGCAGCCTATTTTTATGACATGCCTATTGGCCAAAACACCTAAAAGTCTCCTTTTGATAAGGGACAGCTTTGTAAATTTTGAAAGGGCTCACACCTGTCCCTCCTGAAAGCAGGAGGTATCTGTGTGATGGAGCTTCAAGATAGCTGGCTTACCTGGAATGACTGTGTGAGGAGCGTTTCTTGACCTTCTCATAGGGTTCATCCAAGGATGACTCGCTCCACATCTTGGGTTTGATGGGGGACTTGTCATAGTCATTGCGGTGGTAATGCATTTGGCGGAGGCCTTCCAGTGACTGTGGAGGAGGAGGCCTGTTGTGCAAGGGTGGCCGGGGAGGGAGTCCTTTGTGTGGGGACTGGAGAGGGGATATTGTGCTGGTGACCTGAGAATCCTCTGTGAAGAGAAGAAGGGAGAGAGGTGATGGCTGTGTGGTACCTCCAATGGCAGCACAACCCCGGGGGACACCATCACACCTCCAGAGCCTGCTTCCTTACCCTGCTTCCCCTGGTTGTGTTCAGGAGCAACCTGAACACCCAACTTTCAGAAGTGCACCGGCTGACATTCCCATTTTGGGAGGGAATGGCCAGCAAGAGCGTGTGATGCATTAAAACAACTGAAACCTTAAGAGAAAATAAGGGGGCATTCTGGGACAGTCTTTTGAAAGAATTCAGAGCAGTAACCATGGCAATACTCACTGCTCCAGGCCTGATGTCTGACTACAAGTTAGAGTCAGAGGAAACCGCTCTCAGTCCAGAGCGTTTTTGGTACTGGGAATTTTGGGTGGGTTATTACACAGAATAGTTCCTGTGTCAATCAGGAGTTCACACATCCTTCCCTGTTTCCTTCCCGCCCTCTAGAACATATAGCAGCCAACATACCATCCTCGAGAACAAGGGCATCTGAGAGGGAGCTGTCTTCACTGGCAATGTTTCCTTCTGAGGGGAAGAAAATGGAAATGTGGTCAGATGGTCCTAAGAATCACAGTGACTGAGTGCTGAACTGCACCGTGATCTTCATCCACTGAATCCTACCCTTAAGCAGTCACCCACATCTTCCTCCTCACATAGCCGAGAGGCAAGATTCCTATAAACAACTGACTCAGCCCACTCTCAGTCTCTGAGGGCAGAGCTGCAGGCCAGGTCTCTCACTAGCAGGCTGCCTTTCAAGGAGTTCCTAACTCTTTTCAATTAATGGGGATTAAGACTGAGTCACAACGGAGAGCTGAGATCCCCAGAGGATGCAAAATGGCATGGTGCCATTAGTGAGATTTATTTCTCAGGCCTTAAGGACTCTGGGTTGATCTCTGCCTTCTTAAAATGATCATCCTGTTGCTAACTACAGGCCCACACTAGGTACCAGTTTTGTGTAATTCAGGGAAATGCCTTCTGAGCATCCTCTGTAGCATCAGGAGAAGCTCTCATGTCCTCAGCATGCACACGTCTGAGCTGCCTCCCGCATCCCATGTCCTCACGGCTGTCTGTTATCCCTGACTGCGGTGCAACTTGGTACCCAGGTCACAAATACAGCAGCTCTAATCTCAGTTCCTGCTACAAAGGCACAGAGAAAAGCTCTGCAAGTCAAAGGGAAAGGGCAAAATCAGCAAGGGAGAAAGAACCACAGCAGAAAGTTAATGGATTTCATGAAAAACCAATCAACAACCCAGTAAACCATAAAGTGCCCTGAGAATTACACTGTAAAAAAAAAGAAAAAGAAAAAAAGCATTTGAACACAGAAACGACACTGCCACTACTTTGATTTTACAGATGCCTTTCAGCTAGAGAGCTCACCCCAATCTGCTAACATTAATTACATTTGTACAGCACCACTCCGGAGGAGACGTTAACAGAGCGATTTTATAGGTGAACAAAGGAGTCACAGTCTGCTTTCCTGACACACTTATAATCTACAGCCTGACACTGCTTCTTGTGCTGTGAACCAGCACATCCCTAATGCATGGCACGCAGCCCAGACACCCAGCTGACAGCACGCTGGTACAGGAGAGGACAACCCAACTGCCAGCACCCGTGGAGTCAGGAGAGGGAAGAGGAGGGAGGAGAAATCTGTGCCTCAAGCCATGAGTTCAAGGCAAGAATTTTACTCCCTGCCCTCCACAAACCCTTCAGCAATGCCATGGGCACTGAGCCCCACTTACCCTCTATGATCAGGGAGGCTCTCTGGGTTGGCTTCTTTCCAGATTTGATGCGATACTCATTGATGGCATTTTCGATTTCCTGCAGTTTCTTTAGGGCGTTCAGGTAGGATGTCTTCCTCTGTTTCTTCAGCTTTTTGCTGACGTTTGGGTCGCTCGCCAAGCGCCGTGCAGCCTCTGTGATCTGGGACTGAATGGCAAACTCCCTCTCCAGGCGCTCCAGCTCTGCCTCCTGAGGAAAGGCAAGTGGATTCTGGCTACCACCAAACTCTCCCAGCCCAGCTATGGGGAAGCTCCCCCTGAACCTGGCCAGTGGCCACCAACCAAGGCCCTCCACCAGCAAAGCATCCACGATCATGATGCTCCCCCCCATCTCAGGGCCTCCCTGAGCATACCCATCTCACCTTCATCTGCTCACACAAGTCCCTGGGAGCACAACTGGTGGAAGGGATGACCCATACAAGGAGGACATGTGTGCTCCAGCCCTAAACCTGCTGTGCTGTTTAGCTTTTCATGCAGTTCAATATGGCCTAGTTCAACAGTTCTCTACTGCTGACACATTCATCCTTTTACACCCATCTTATGGGTAACACCTGCCTCCCACCCGCTCCTTCTCCCTGTTTCCTATCTCCATATTTGAGCCCCATTTGATATCAGTGCTATGTATTGATGCAAAGCTACGGCTTTAACCCTCTTGACAGGTTTGCTTGGCACTCACCAAACTCCTTGGGGTAAAAAAGCCAAAGATGGGCTAATTCCTCCTTGCTGTATGGTGGCCAAAATCCAGGGGAGAGTATGCGCTGAAGTAATTATGGGCTGCTGCAATTGATTGTACCAGAAAATTGTCTCCTTGAGTTACAAGCCAGGAGGGTGATTTCAGAGCGAGCAGTGTGTAACAGCAAGCTTTCTGTGTACCAAAGAGGACTAGTGTCTCCAACATTAGCCTTTGCAGGGTCTCAGCTGAGTTTTTAAATGCAACCAGGTGTACCCTGGAAGCTACCTACTGATTTTTAGTTATCCTCCAAAGTCAAGGGATTTAGGCCAATTTATGCAGAAGCTGATAGAGAGCTTCCTGGTCTGCACTGGGACCCCAAGCTGTGAGGTACTTGCTAATCTGCAACAGATCTGGCTACCTTCCCCAGCTCGATGGAGTTTTTGGTGTTAGTCTGCTAGAAAGGAGAACAGAGTACACTGCAAATTAGGGAAAAAATGATGAACTTTTTTACTTCTAGTGAATGGTGGGAGTTGAGATCGCAAGCACTGACAGCCATATACTCATGGAGATCCCCATTACGCAAATTCAAATCCTTTCTCTTTGTTTAGCAGCGGCGTATGCTACAAGAGCTGATGCTGTGGGAATTAATCAGACTGAAATCGTTCTCTGAAGTTTTTATTCTGGGCTTCTGGCTTAAAAAAAATCCCTTTGCTGTCAGTGGTGAGTCCGCATTGCCTTAAATCTGTAATTATCATTTCCCTCACTTTACTGAAGACTGAACCCACCCCCCATCTTTTTAACAGATCCCTTTTTGCTTTGAAGAGTATAAGCTCTATCAGTGCCAAACTTATTAAAAGTTAATTTGACACCACGGAGTTTTAAGGCCTGGAACCTGGTTACCGCCTTCTGGCAAAATCCTTCCCAGAGTCAGGAATTACAGACCAGGTAGAGGTGATTACCAAAAAATACAATAGGACCCTTCCCTGCAAATCTTGCTCTGACAAAGCTCTTACTAAAGGTACGGAGAGTTTGATGTGAGCTGTCACTTCAGACCTTCACAGATTCAGTTCTAAATAATTCAGTACATCTTAGAAAAAACATATTAATTTTCCTTCTGGCCATAATTGTCTATTTTCTTCCAGTGAGGCCACAATAAATAAAGCCTCAGAAAATGAGGACTATCATCTGTCTTCAGATGGAAGTGCCTTGCTTCAGGTCCTTGTCACAATTGGTAATATCAGTCATGGATTTATGTGACTGGCAGTATTTCACCTTTTGTTTTAAATTGAGTTTCTAGTGCTTGCACTTGCTGAAAAGCGCATGAAAATCATCGCTGGCCTCTCTAAATGCTCTCAAACTGGCAGCCAAATAAACACAGCTCAACATCATTCTTCAAGAACAGAAATTTATGGTTTTCAACACAGTCTTAAAGTTTGACATGTGAAAAGGGAGGTAGAGAAAAGCTGAGTCATCATGTTTGGATTGCTGATGCCAAAAGGCAGAGTCCCTGCAATGGGGAGGAGCTGCTTTACTTTCATGCTCTCCCCACCTAAGCCTGCCACTGGAGTAAGGAGATTCCTCACCCGCTGGCCCCAAAAGCTGCCTTGTAGCAGTGAGATCTGGGAAGCTGGAGATCAGGTTATAACTGAGCAGCCAACAGACTGCAGGGGTTTTAGGAGTAACTCAGCTAAGCCGTGCTTCCCTTTGAAAAGCTTAATTAAATGTGCTAGTTCATGAATATTTGACTTCGGTGGAATTCCTCTCCCAGGCTCCATTGAGAACAAAACTAAAGAGCTCCAGCTGTTTATTTTTTCAGCAGAAGGAAAATGCCAACAAAACGACAAACAGTTAATTCCCTGGCTGAACGGAGCCTTAAACCGCACAGTCACACCAGCTTCAGTCTCTCCTCTTACAAAAATAAAAAAGAAACTCAAGACTGGAATATACACAAGTGTCTTGAGACAAATGCGTCTCTGCAGACAATAGCTTTTCTGTGAATCCGGTCCCGCCTTACAGCTGCTGCAGGCCTGTTTTCACAGCCACGGTTCAGGGCACTGACCCAGCACATTGTGGGAGCAAGGGAAGAGAACAAACACTCCCTGGCAAACTTAGAAAAACATAATTCCAACTCCCCATAGGTAGGGACGAAAGCTCTTTTGTTTAAGGACTGGGGAGCAAAATGCTTTCATCTTGCCATTGCAGGGCTAAGATGGATAATAGTGATGCTTTTCTCCCCGTTAGGGGAGATCTGAATTCGGATTGCTACTGAAGCAGAAAGAAGTGGCTGTTTGCAGTAACAACACTGGGCAGCAGCAGGGCTCAGATGGCTCAAGGCGCTCCTGATGCGCTCCCTACTCAGACAAGTCACTGCACTTGGTCACCAGAGCGCTTGGACTGTCATGGTCCAGTTGGTCACCCAGGCTATTTCTGTTACCTCTAGCAAAGCCAGGGCTGAACTTTGAGGGTTTAACCTTTACTCCGAGTCTGAACTAAGGGCACCAACTCTCTCATTGTTTCCGTGTTCTGATGGATTTAAAAAAAAAAAAGGCACCATGACCAACTACAGTTATTTAAAACAAAAATGACTGTAAGACTGATGGTTCCTATGTGATGCACGCTGGACGTCTTGGAGACCCGAGGAGGGGACACGGGGCTGGAAGGGAAGGGCACAGCCTCACCTCTCCCTTAGGCAGGATTTTCTGCTCATCCAGTTTAAAGGCAGTTCCTATTCTTCTCCTTACAATAGGTGGCTCCTCCCCAGGATCTAGGGGGTATTCTCGTGGCAGCTTTCCTGTGAGCTCCTGTAAGCAGAAAATGCTGTTAGTGATCTGGGAAATCCTGCAGCAGAGCAAAGCACACCACCGCTCTTGAACTGTGGCTGTAAAATGACAGGCGTTCATTAACGACATCTCCAGTTCAGCCAGCTGATAAACATACAGGTGAGCACCCAGCCCTGCAAACTCCTCCCAGGACCTGACATTGAGGGTGGGGAACTGTTCTTTAATCTGTGCATGAATACAGAATTTTGTGGCCTGCCCAAGGCAGGTCTATAGGTGTTGCCCATCCCTAAGGCGTTGGAGCCTACGGCTGAACAGACTGCAGCACACATGCTTTCATCTCTGCTGCAGGGTAAGCAGGAAAGAAGAGCTTCTATCTGCTGAGCTACTTCTCAGAAGGGGGTGAGCAGATCCAAGAGCCTTCACGCAGGATGCAGGTCTGCTGAGTCAGAAAGCCCCACTGGCAACAGCCGTGCAGGTTATGACCCGCACAGAAAAACATTCCCACCTGATTCATGATGTGTCTGAGAGGAATGCAGTGAAAATGGTCACTAAAAGCGGTGCCTGGTACCTCATTACCTGTCTGATAACACTTCATGTATCAGAGCCCCTTCCAAACCCCGGTGATGTCATGGCAGGTTTGGAGCAATAGTAGATGATGCTTTGTCAGAGTGATGGGGTCATTTGCAAAGATTTGTTCAAAATCTGAAGCAAACCTCACAGAACTGAGGAATATCTGGAACACAGGAAGCAGCAAGCGCCAATATTGATGTTAATGCTGTGGTTTTTTTTTTTCCCCTGGACTACACAATGCAGCCACACATTATCTGAATTGAAGGCATTCAAATGCCTACAGAAAAAGGCAGGAGCCTCACTGCGAGCACAACCCAGACTCCTTGTACTTGAAAGTCTCCCCATGAAGGACAAAAGGCTTTTGTGCTCCTTAGCATCAGCCTTGAGAGGATCCAGCTGGCAGAGTAACCTAAATCATCTCATCTGAATCCCAAAGAACAGCAGCTGACCTTAATGCGAGTGTGCAGTTCAGGCCCCTGCCTGCCCTGGCCTCTCCCCAGCTCCCTAATGGGGTTTTTCTTTCTACTCTTTTCAGGTCACTAGGAAACAAGGACTTGGCCTTTTCAAATCCTTTCTTTAAGCAGCTCCCAGAAAAATGGGTTTGAAGCTCTGTGCCGACGTGCACAACGCCCTTTTGCGAGAGGCACTGTTGCAGTATCTCATGAGTCCCATTCCGTGTTGCCCCTCCAGCCCCGTGGGGTTATTTCAGCTTTTCTTCTGTAACGCGTTCCTTCTAGTGTGATGTGGCTCTAAGCACTGCATCAAGACACAGACTCCTATATCCTTTCCTGAGGTAAACTAGGATATTTTCTTTATAACCCCTAATTTAATATGAAGCAGGGCAGTG